AAGAGATAATTGGTCCAATAACAAGCCTTGTGGTCACAAAGGGTCGACCCTAACAACATTCAATTACCAGTAACAATAATAAGACAGTTATCTATATTTCCTAATCAACCACACACATTGACCTCTTGATCGATCCACGGTATATTAGTTGAGTTTTAGGCACCTTTTGTTACTTATCAGCCTGTAGTTTATTGATCTTTACCAGTTTATTGGATAAATTGAATATAATTGTAATATTTCGATTGATTTGATGATTTTTTTATCTAATACAATGAGTGATATAAGATCAAAATGGCATGCTGATGGTTTTATTTCTTTGTTTTACCAACCTCTAATATGATTACTGATTTCTGATAGATTTATTTAAAAGGGTTCCAACCGCCGCGCCGGCTGTTTACCACATAAATATAGTCCTCCAAAAAAGAACCTCCTGGCGTTATTAAAGTGTTTATTGAGTTGAAATAAACTGTAAAATATTCACAAAGATCCAAACTATGCACTGGCTGAACTGAAACTTTGTGTGTAATTGCTTCCTTAAATATTTACTTTACAAAACCATTTTGAAAATCTTTGAATTAGTCTTTTTTACATGGGATTTTAACTTCTAAATAACATATTTAAAAAAAAAATAGCTCCATTCTACTGCAAGCTCTGATATGTTATGAGCACAACCATTGGAAACAAATTACATTGTGATTTAGCCTCCGGATAACCAATATTTCAATAAAGTGGTTTAAATACCTGCATAAAAGTTATCCAAAATGTTGCTCACGGCAACCGGTTTCAATCCTCAATAGGGATCTTCATCAGGCCGATCAGGATATAAACACATTTTTTCTCTTCTTGCGAAGGTCGTCAAAAGGCGTAAAATGTGTGCATGTTTTTACGCCTTTTGACGACCTTCGCAAGAAGAGAAAAAATGTTTTGACATCCTGATCGGCCTGATGAAGATCCCTATTGAGGATTGAAACCGGTTGCCGTGAGCAACATTTTGGATAACTTTTATGCAGGTATTTAAACCACTTTATTGAAACAAATTAGTTTTAGAGTGTTCAGAGCTTGTACGTATATGCATGTTTAGAAACATAGCATGTTTAGCCACCATCTTGAATTGACCGGGTAGAACCCTCTTAATAAACATCTCTTATTTGTTAACTTACTTGCTTATTTTCTTGCTGAGCATTAAATTTAGAGTGCAGAGCGGTATAAAATACATGTTATCAAAACAACAATACCATTACAGAATATTTATCTAAGGAAAATTTGTTTATTCTAATAAAAAATATGCTAATCTTTTGCTGATTTATAACATTTTGAGATATTATTAAATTATAACTATTCTTGTTTAGTCAGTGAGGGTTTCACAAAATATCATCTCTTTCCATGTGGATGTGGCCAATCCATACTTGACTACTTTTGTACAATTACATACAAGTGCCGGCTTTACTGTTTCACCTTTTACAGTAAACTTGTCATTGGTTCATCAGGTGTCTCGTCTCTCTTTTCAAGAGAAAACAATTTTTCATTCTGTATGGTTGAACAGACATAACATAGCTTTTGTTTAGACTTTACCTTGACAAACTAAATTAGCCTAGTTGTAAGGCACTTATATGGACTCATATAAAGAATTCAAGATCTAAAATAAACATTTGTTCATCAATATTTACAATTTTCCTCATTCTGACTCGTGAATTTGCTCTGGATGTTGTTGGTTTTGATAGTTCGATAAGTGCAATCTGATTATCTCTAAAGTCCCTAAAAGCATGAGTCACCTCCATTATCGCATGCTTTTCTAGTAATAATTAATCTTTTCCTTATTGATATACCCAGTTTTGGTTTAAGTCTAATGTAGGCTAAATTGCAGTACCACACATCATCATTATCCATTCTTACATCATTACAAAATCCTTTAGTACAAACACCAGAAGTCCATCTAAAGAATAACAAGAATCCTCTCTTCCTTCCTAGTGTCTGAGGATAAAAGTTTTAAACATTCTGTACATTACACAGTTATTTCAGAATATATTTTGTTTTTGTGTGTATTAAAAATGGAAAAAATGCTAATGCTAAAGAGGAAGTTTATTTAGGTGGTATTTTACGTGGATCAATGACAAAACAATAACAATTTAAAAGCTAACAAATATTTTACTCTTTTTAAAAAGTAGTTACTAAAAATAAATAAAAAAAACTACTTCATTTTTAAAACGTTTTCATTTTTAAATTCCCAGATCAACCTAAAATCAGTAAATTGTGCCTGGTATAAAAATGTATTGATTTCTTGTACACTTTCCAAAAATATATACAACCAGTGCACCTGTTGCTCGAATTCGAGCAATTGCAAAGTATTACAGGCGTTATTTTAAAATGAATAAACAGTCATAATTCCGATGACATAAAAGAGTCAACTCAAAGATAATGTAGGCTAATCAATTACTCAACTCCAGTTGAAACAGAAAACGAACTAATTCTGAAAACAAACGCTTTGTGTGTATCATGTGTTTACTGTGAACAGATATTTTCGTATGCAATTAATACAAATTATTCGTCTGTTTAAGTAAACAAAATCTTTTCTTCTTGAGAAATACATTGGGATTTTGATGGCCTGTGGGGAAAAGCCCGAGGACTTTTATTAAACAGGAATTGGTGAAATTTTTGTCTACACAAAATGGTGTTGACATCGCTACACAACATTTGAAGATGTGGCTGTAGTGCACATCGCTACACAAAAAATGCCTAATTTTGACACATCGCTTGTAAAGATCCGTCTATTATTAACGGAGGAGTAGTGTTTCATAGAAATCGCCTTCACGTAGTATATATAAGGATTTCTACCGAACCTATAAATTTTGACATTGGATTTTAACCAGACTATGTAACGTATGCTGTGTAAGCCAGATTCAAGGTACAAGTAGGCTAATGAGTGGTCACATGTAGGGTTAGCCATGTTACTACAGGTGGAGCACCTAGTGGGAGGTTGACAAACTACCCGACCCCCCCCCCCTTCCGCCACATCGCTCATCCACCCCATTACTCTCATATAATGACTACATTTGGCCCTGCCTGGGCTTGTCATTAATGACTTCCATCAATTGTCCTTACCTGTTCAAACAGTGTGTCTCCAGCAAACATAGTGAATTATTTTTGCGGCTAAGAGTTTTAAAAATAAACACTTCAGATATTATGTAATCATTTATTGTATTTATGTCACAAATTTGATTAGTGTGTAGAGTTAATTTGTTAGTTGTAAACCAACTAAGTGACTATAGTTCAGCTGCTTAGAAAGCGACCTGCACGCTAATGCTAACCAATGCTTTCTAAGCGGCCGAAGTATAGTAGCTGTGCTTTGTATAAACTAGAATTTTAAAAGTTGCTCAAAAAAGCAGTTTATGACATTTGTCAATATTTATACTTACATTCTCAAACAGTGATTCTCCAACAAACAGTGAATAAGAAGTGTGAATAACAGTTAAATATTAAAACTTGATATGTAAAATCTTAGTTGTTCCCAGGACCATAATTTTTGGTGACTAGTAAATTGACTATTAGTAGCGGTTCTAGGACCTTGTCAAGGGGGGGGGGAGCTGGAGGTGTTCCACACCCCCAAGAAAGAAGGGGGTCCTCCCCCACAAAGTTTAGTATTTTTAAAGCTGTTTGGTGGCTTTCTAATGACATTTTTAAAGTCTAGAACTGATTTAAGTATAAAAACCTCATGTTACGTTTTGACAGAATTTTTTTCCTGGGGTTTGGTAGGAAAAATTGCCATGGCATCTCAAGAAAATTTTTTGAAATTTAGATTTTTAATGGTGATTTTTTTGTAAATAAAACTCATAACATAATGCAAAAACTGAATTTTAACAAAAATAGCCAGAACGATTCTGGACAACATTTAGTATGTTATAGTCCTTATAATTGTAAAGTAACGGTACAACCCCCCATTGCTATAAACATTTCGGTTCAAAAGTCAATGCAACTTTTGCGATTCCCCCCCCCCCGCACAAAAAAACATATTTACTCCCACCGCTCACCCATGATAAAGGTTGTTAATAAGCAAATGGAAGAAATCATGTGTAAGATTGCTGATACCGTTTTTATTTTGTTTTATCTCTGGATTAGCCTATATCTGTTTCTATAATCCTTATACTCGTTCATGGCCCAAACATTCATAATAACAAACAGTACAGTTACAGTTATAATTGAAAGACTTGTCGAAACAGAAAGGAACCTTAGTCATTGTAAAATAAAAAATAGTTGAGTAGGTGGGCAGAGGTTGCCAAGACTAACGATGGTTGGAAATGAGTTTGGGCTGTTGAAAGCCTATAAATCTGTAGGTAATGGGCGCAGCACAGTGGCATACCTAATTGACTGCTATAATTGCTCGTGTTTTTACTACAGTCCTTGTTTAATTAATGTCCTGACTGGGAACGTATGAATATGATTAATACTGATAAATCTTCAGCCTTAAGCGGTCTTTTTGTGGTCGCATTTCATAGCTCAACTGAGCTCCAATCAGTTTACGGATGTATTGAAATGCAAATCACTAGCTTTGATCTTTGGTAAGTTTGAATTTGTTTTTGGAAATTTGGTTTCATTTATTTCAATTGAATTTGAAATTATTGTTTGAAAAATTATTGTATGAATTTCAAATAACTACAACTCCAAAAGTAATTGTTCTTTGCCTAGTTATTAACATAAGTAAATTCAACTATTCCTACTACCAACCAATTTCCTTAACCAATACAGAAGTATATTATGAATGTATATAATGTTTTAAGTAGTTGTTAACTCCAGTAAGTATGAGAATTTTTTATGTTTTACTAAATTATCAAGATTCTCTTTTTATTACCTTTTCAAGGGTTTCTTACTCTTATACCTAGCATTTATGTTCAACATTAAAGCGACAAGTATAAAAGTTAAAACTAATAGTTTTGTGCTGTTGATGGAGGCATGAAAATGTAAAAAGATTAGCTTTTTGGTAATAAAAGGTAAAAATCATATCAAACTTTAAATTGTCCATCTTTTAATTATGTATCACAGTTTGGAGCCCAAGGACAAATTCAGGATTTGATCTGATGTAGTGACAGTGCGTTCTTGAATGTATTTCATGGAGTTCCTATCAGCAGCATCCAAGTAGTACCTGAAATTTCAGATTTATCTTACTTGAAACTATCTTTTAAATATACATTTTTTAGAAAATACCACCTGTTGCTTGATATCGATCAATTAATTGTCAAGTATTACCGGAATTATTTCAAAACTAATAACAATCATAATTTTGAAGAGTTTTAGAGACTAAACTCAAAGATTGTTGTTTGCTGTCATGTGATGTTATTTGATTGAAGAATTATGTTTCAATTGTTAAAAGGTTAAAACCTTTTTCAAAAGATTGAAAAATTTGTTTTAAAGATCTCTTATCATTTGAAAAATGTCAATCGAGATGTAGTTAGTCCTACTTTGCTCTGAAATGGTGACGATACGAAAGTAGGTATTTTAAGCCAAGAATGAATGGAGATGAAAGTAGTATGAGTGGCCAGATCTTGTAGTCCTGTTAGTGACTAAGGCCGACATATTCCTTAGACACAGCTGTTAATTAATAGCCCATACAGCCAATGGCAACTAAGGAGATGAGTGATTATTTAGGGAAACACTTGAAAGAATTGTGTGTTAATTAAGATTTGAACCACTTGTAGCTTGGACCATTTGTCATACTCCTTGGGAGACTGTGCAGGTGTTAAGATAGTAGTAGAGTTTACCTGTAGTTGACCATGAGTCCACAGCTCTGAGAGAGGCCCCGAGGGGAAGTATCCGCCAACCAGTTGAGTCTCCACATCACAGCTCCGTTGCGGAGGTGGAAGTTTGCTGGAACATACAAAACAAGCTTTATCTACAACACTCATTAAAGACACCATGTTGAGCTCTGTTTTAGAGCTTTAGTTAATTGATTATTATGAATCAGGTTTATTATGATATTAGGAAACCTACAGGTATAGTAAAAAATTGATTATTCGACTTGCGTCAGGCTTTCCATGCATACTCAACCCCCTTCAGATCCTGGACCAAGTAGTTAGCGTCATGGTCTTTGATGCAAGAGAGACCGGCATATCCACAAACATTTGATTTTGACAGCTTTCCCTTTAAAGCGTTTGTTACTTTCATTCAAAATGCCACTGCGGCATTAACACTAACAAAAAGAACAAATTATATGAAAAATCCTTTCTTACCAACACTGTCAAACGCATATCCTCTTCTTTTCTCCAAATATAGATACCGACTGCACGACACCATCAAAGGTGTTTTGAGGACTTCAACAAGAGCCTCATTGTGAAACCAAGAGTTGTCAGATATCATAGACCTCAGCTTTGCCCAAGCGTCAGTTTCATCTTCGGGGTTGATAAGTTTGACAACTTCTCCCCAATCATTCAATGGCAAAACACTTTCACCTGCAAAATCAGTAATCATAATCTCTGTGTTATGAAAGTTAGGCTAATATAGTAAAAACCTGGTAATCAAGCAGTTTCAATGATCCACCATCAATCTTAAGGCCTAAACAAATTTATGGAATTCTGTTTTAAGTAGTAAAAGATTCCGCAGAGTCAACAGTGATCAGTCAAACATCAATATCGATTAGCAAACATTGGTAACATTTAGCATAGTCAGGGCCGGTTCTAGGAAGCGGTTAAGCGAACACCCGAATTAGCGCCACCTAGGAATTTCATCCGGAACAATAATATGAATGTGAACTAAATTTTTACAGGATAACTTGGATACGATATAAGTTTTTATGAAGCCTATTACAATGAAAAACAGGTGTAGGTAGATGACACACCTACACCTAAAAAATTCCTTTTATTTTTAATTAATTCATTATAATTAGTTAATTATTTTTAATAATTGTATAAGTTACATTAATTATGTAGAAAACATGACAAACCAAATTGAAGTATTACCTTGACAAAAAGAATACAGAATGTTCAATCTGAACAGTTCAAAAGTTCTTACCAGTTAAAAATTAACTCTCCTAGCTTTGATCTTGGCAAATTCTTTATTGCTGAGTCGGTATCAATCTGTTTCAGAACATCATTTTCTATTGCCATTAGTGATAAGCCAACCAAGCGCTCCTGCGAGATCGTAAACCGTCTTGATGAGTTTTAACTATTTATAATATGAGTTTTAAGATTGATACGTCTTGATGAGTTTTAACTTGGAGAATGAACGTTCACCACACGCCACAGAAACTTGTAGAGTTAGAAGAATCTTTAACTTACAAAAACGTTAGGGAAATTGCTTACATAGCCTTTGGTTGTAATGTAGCTTAAGGCTTCTGCTGGTGAACCTGCCTTCGAGTCGAACATTCGGGAAAAAACTTCAATCTCTTTGAAGAGGTCATTGCCATCAATAGGTATCTTGTTCTTCTCCGTCACTAAGAATATTTTCTAAGAGTTTACATGCTGATCGCAAGTTCGCACTTTCCCAGTCTGTACAGTTGAAGTGAGTTGAGTTGAAGTGCTGTATAAGTATACATATTTTTCAAGTACTGTTGGTACAAATAGAATAAATGCCTTTGGTGTGGTGCTTTGGATGCTTTAACTCTAAACGATAAAAAAATAAAGTTGTTCATTTGTCAGTAAAGTTGTTTCCAATTTTGTCATCTGAAAAAAAAAATTGTGCCCGTTGGCGCCACTTTTTTGTGGCGCCATATGTGACCGCATATTTCGCGTATGGGATTAACCGGCCCTGAGCATAGTCATAAGGTTGCAATGGGGGTATTTTGTCAAGAAACAATAAAGTGTGTAAAGGTTCTCATTATTTTTCAATTTTTTTAACCTCCATAGTCTAGTAATGAGATTTTACAACGCACGTGCCGTTTCATTTTTGATGTTAATTGTCAATGTTTAAAAATGTGTCTAAAAAAACCTAGTAACTAAACTGTGATAGGTATTTGTTATTTAATTTTATTATTAAGTGTAGGTCTAACCTCTAACTGAATCCCCCCATACAAGGTTAACACCAGAACAAACCTTTTTCAGCATTTTTCATCCTATCTAACAGCCATTGGCGAAACGATGGAATCGGCGACAATGTGGAGAACTGCGTGACATGAGGGTACTCCGAGTGTAACTCCTTGGCAGCTCGCTTTATCAGGTAGTTGCCCAGGTCGATGCCCTGACAAGAAAGGAACAATCAGCAGACAAACATTGACATTTTGAAACAAAATCTTGACGATGATTACAATTTTAAGGTTTTAAATTTCCATGTAACAAGTGAAATTATTTCAGTAAACGCAAGTAATGCAATTACAGTGGAATCTTGGCTAAAATGTGGTAGTTTATAAAAAGATTTCTGTTGTTTACCTGTTCAGTTAATCTGTTATTTCCGGTGCCATGAGTGACTGTGTTAATAGAGGTTTTACTGTAGCCTACATATATTATTAAGAAAATCGAGATATCAGTTTAATGTGTAAGCTAGTAATTTTATTTACCCATTGTTTCCCAGAGAGAAAATATATTTTTAAATTAATTTTTCTAACACACTAAAAACATGTTTTGTTTATAAAAGTAGTAAAACAGGAACTGTTTCAGTTATAAGAATTGAACCAAAGGAAAGAATAAAGTACATCTTAAATGAAGCAGTTATTAGGAGTGTTTAAGTAAAACATAAAAACTATGTATTAATCCAAAGCTAAGTGAATAATACAGTACATGAAAAAAGGCATATTTGTGAACAAAACTTAACATACACTGGTTAAATTACAGAAAATATTTAGCTTTAACAACAATGGAACTAGGCTACTGAGTTCATGGATAGAGTAAATTTAAATTTAGTCCCTTTTTCTAAAAAATGAACGCTGGAGTAAAACTAACTATATTGTAAGCTAAGTTCCTAGTGTAATAAATAATGAATCACGCAATATTTTTTTCCTGCAGTTACCTAACAATGTACATGTTCTCTCACTGATTTGAGAAAGCAAAGTGGCCAATTCGCTCATCAGTGAGACAATGTTAACATTGTCTCACTCTAATTACTTTGTCTCACTCCAGATTTGCAACGTGAAGGCACGAAATAGTGAGCGCGTAACATGCAGGCAACGTCGTATGTGCGCGAAATACATTGGCAGCACTGGCTGTAAATCAGCTGGTGGTGTACTGTTGTATTTGTCACTTCACATTAAATGTTATATTAAAAGTTCACTTCTGTGTAAAAAAAGGTTATGTTTCTTCACCAATTTATTTGTTTTATGGTAACTGTAGGAAAAGTATAATGTGCAACTCGAGTTCAAAGTACAATTGCCTCACTCGAGAAACCATTCCTCACTTGCCTACGGCTCGTGAGTAAGGATTTCTCTCGAGTGATTCAATTGCTCACTTTTCTCACTAGTTGCACAAATAACTATTAAAGTGGATGATAAATCATACATTTAATATGTTATTTATATTATTATACCTGCAATCCTTTCTGAGTTGAACTAATTGAGTAGAAAATAAAGGCTTTAACATTTTGTTTGTCTTCCACAACACTGTTTTGATTTGTCTTTTCATCACCTACAAAATAATTAAGTAAATCTATAGCTTTATGATCTATATAAGCATTAAGATTAAATAAAAGCTTTTAAAACTATTTAAGAGCTAGTTTATTGTAGTAGGCCCTAACTTTATTATTAGGATGATTATTTCAGTCACGATACATATATTAAAAACATCTTATAGCCCTTCAGTGTAACAAAACTACCAAAGACTAAGTTTTAAAGCTATGATAGAGTAATGAATTTGTTGTGTACAAAAGTTCACTGTTAGTTCCATCTTTCTTTCTTAGTTTCGACGCCAGTGACATTTTTAGACGAGAGAAAATGCACAGAATGTACTGAAATAATGAAATAAAAAATTTCTTTTGGTAAGTCGGTGGCTCAGTTGGTAGCGTCACGGACTTCAAGCCCAAGGCAGCGATGTCGTGGGTTCGGCTCCTGGTCACTGCCGCAAACATTTTATCAGTACAGTTCACCTTTGTACTGTACCGGCTCACCCCTTGCTTTGCTGTATACGTTCCACGCACAGATATGTAGTCTATGTGGACGGGCAAATGCAAGGTTAAAAGAGGCCGCCAACCTCTTAAAAAAAAAAATGCTTTTAGGGAAAGCGCTCCAAACATATGTGTTGTAGATGTGCCGGCAATCGAACCCATCTCTCCCGCACCGAAGACAGGATCGCTAAACACTAGGTTAGCAACACACCCAATGTTGTTGTTGTAGGTTTAAGGTTGTATTAATGTTTAAAATATAAGTATCTTGGGAGTAAGTGCTTTTACAGTGTATTGCAGTTTTTAATGTTTATAAATTATTCACAAAGAGATAATATTTAAAATTATTAATAGATGGATTTTGTTTGTCAAAAGACTTATTAAGTTCTGATTTACATAAGTTATTTCTCCAGTTTACACTGACTAAGGCTGAGACTAACTACTGAAAAATCAACGAAACGTAGATCAAACTAGATTAAATTAAAGTATGCTGAGTGAGGTGATAATTTTGTAATTACAATTTTCAATGAAAACTTTATTAAAAAGGACAGTTTGTCTAATGTTGAACCATTAAAAAGCTAGTTTCCTTTGGATTGAACCAATTTCCTTCTGATTATCCAGCTAGCACAAAAACCATTCAGCTACATTACACAGCTATAGTAATTCATATAGTTCAGATTAACAGTAAAATTATCTCGTTGATGGGGGTACAAGTGTTCAAAATACTGTCAAGCGTTTTGATATCCAGTAGAGCCTGAAATCTATTGAGCAGTGCAACGAGTTACATATATTCTTTCGTTCAACAATAATAGTATTGTTGAATAATTGAATGATAATTCAATCAACCAGCACATTAAATATAGCCAGTCTCAACATTTACAACCAATATTTAAGAAGTTAGGAGTCTGGAAGTCAGTTAAAGCAAAATTTAAGGTGTGAATTAAAGTCATCACACCAAACCTATTACACACTTTAGCAGTCAAAAGACTTCTGTAATCTGACAATTTCATGGGAAATAGTGATAAGACAATGTGAAACATAATTTACACTTAGTTCATTACCGTTCCGTAAGAACCTGTTGATGATACTCTTCATGTTGTCGGATATCTCTTTGGTGAGTGCTACGTGTAACACTACCAATGGTTCCCCAGGCATGCTGTGATGTGTGTACACAAAACATCGTCTGTACGGTCCCACCCTCTGCCGGATATCTGTCCAGCTGCGTACAGGGTGGACAGCCTCATACTCGGATATCTATAAGCAAACCACCAACATTATTAGCTTGATTCTAGACGTGCTGTGATGTGTGTACACAAAACATCGGCTGTACGGTCCCACCCTCTGCCGGATATCTGTTCAGCTACGTACAGGGTGGACAGCCTCATACTCGGATATCTATAAGCAAACCACCAACATTATTAGCTTGTTTCTAGACATTCTGTGATGTGTGTACACAAAACATCGGCTGTACGGTCCCACCCTCTGCCGGATATCTGTCCAGCTGCGTACAGGGTGGACAGCCTCATACTCGGATATCTATAAGCAAACCACCAACATTATTAGCTTGATTCTAGACGTGCTGTGATGTGTGTACACAAAACATCGGCTGTACGGTCCCACCCTCTGCCGGATATCTGTTCAGCTACGTACAGGGTGGACAGCCTCATACTCGGATATCTATAAGCAAACCACCAACATTATTAGCTTGATTCTAGACATGCTGTGATGTGTGTACACAAAACATCGGCTGTACGGTCCCACCCTCTGCCGGATATCTGTCCAGCTGCGTACAGGGTGGACAGCCTCATACTCGGATATCTATAAGCAAACCACCAACAGTATTAGCTTGATTCTAGACATGCTGTGATATGTGTACACAAAACATCTTCTGTACGGTTCCACCCTCTGCCGGATATCTGTCCAGCTGCGTACAGGGTGGACAGCCTCATACTCGGATATCTATAAGCAAACCACCAACAGTATTAGCTTGTTTCAAGACATGCTGTGATGTGTGTACACAAAACATCGTATGTCCAGTCCCACCCTCTGCCGGATATCTGTCCAGCTGCGTACAGGCACAGAAAACATACTACTATAACCCAGAATGCCAACCGCATGGTAAAAAGCATTAAGTGTTTTGAGAGAGCTTTGCCTGTCAATCGTAGGCAGCGCCACCAGCGTTGCTATGCTGAGTGCATGGCAACGCTAGTGGCGCTGCCTACGATTGACAGGCAAAGCTCTCTCAAAACACTTAATGCTTTTTACCATGCGGTTGGCAATCTGGGTTATAGTAATATGTTTTCTGTGGTACAGGGTGGACAGCCTCATACTCGGATATCTATAAACAAACCACCGGTATTAGCTTGTTTCTAGACATTCTGTGATGTGTGTACACAAAACATCGCCTGTACGGTCCCACCCTCTGCCGGATATCTGTTCAGCTACGTACAGGGTGGACAGACTCATACTCAGATATCTATAAATACCCCCGCCGCAGTAAACCTGCAGTCTAAGCGAATTTCCATTAGCCTGATAGGATTTCACATTAAAATGCCTCCTTATAAATATCATATTTATTCCCTATTTAAATAGAATTAGTTTAACGAGTACTTAGGTTTGCTGCAACAGGGAGGGTAAAAAGGTGGTTTTTATGTTAATATTTTAGTAAGAAATGAATGTACTTTCCAAATTCGATCAAAATATGTTCATAAACAAGTAAACTACAACAGTTGACTTAATCTCCATAAGAATAACATAGGGATTTTAAATTTACAATTTTTTGGAATTTTCTCTTTAACCATTAGGCGCACAATAACGCTTCAATATACTAAATTATTTGTTTTTTTAAGCTCTACAAAATGGTTTGGAAATAAATTGTAAAATTTTGTGTTTTTAGGGTCAAAAATGGGAAAAACCTATTTTTACCCCATAAAACCCCCCATAAACCCCCGTTCCCATAGTCCGATCATGCTGGTTCGCGAACTTGTTCGAATAAACGTAGGTTTACACGTTTGTACCAAATTTCATCAAAATCGGATCATTTTTGCTCGAGTTATCCTGCTGACGGACACATATATATATATATATATAAATATATAAATATATATATATATGAATTTGAACGGATGGTGTTTTTGGCCTCTAGGGACCTCAAAATGAAAAAATAAATCGGTCCCGGGTCCAGGTCTTACCATGAGTACTACGGTAATAGCTTATTCCCTATATGGGAAATTCGCTAACAAAACACCTACGAGCATATAATATGAGCTGGAGAAAATAATTTACTTGAATCTTTGTAGTTGGCACCAAAAAGTAAGCAAGCTTTTTTCTATTTGGAAAAAGTAATTGAGGCCAGAGAGACGAATACAATGACAAACTTTTTGTGAAAAACCCCTCCATTTTAATTTATTTTGTGTATACTACCTGGGTGTTTCCAGATAATGGAGATGTACATAATTACACTTCATATAACTAAATACCAATAGTAATTGTCAGTGAGTTTACCTACCTTTTGTAGCAGACAGCAGGGTGACGACCAAGTAACTCTCTCAAGATGCAGAAACCCCACAGAGAACCATAAACTGAGCAGTTTTTTCAAAACATTGCCCAACTGCTGCAGTGGAAGCTGGTGGGGTGATTTGGCATCTGTGGTTGAAAGGAGTGCCTAAACACACATTTATAGCCAATATGAACTTCTAACTAGTATTTGAGACAAATACTAAAATTATTTATTTTTGTTCATTTAAAGCTCCTAACTCTATGGTTGATGAATCACGGTTGAAAACAGATTAATTTAAATGGCCTATATAAAATACAATTACAGCACAAAAGTAACAAGCCTGTTAATCAGTATCTCCAGTTTGGTTCTGCATGTGAAGAAATTATGCTTTCAAATGGTTCTAATGGTCCCATTCTTCTGGTTGGGGATTTCAACTTACCTGATACTATATGGGATGATACCGACAATACTATATTTGATCCAAATTCTGTTCCCATTCTCAATTTAGCTCAACTTTTTGAACTTCAGCAATTTAATGGCATCAAGAACGACCGTGGAGTTTTAATGGATCTGGTTTTCTCATCTTTGGAGCATGTTGAGGTTACTCAGGCCTTGGATCCTTTGGTCCCGGTTGAATCACATCACCCTTCCCTTGAGATTGAAATTAAATGCCCGGGTAGATTACGGTCAAGAAACTTAAGATACAAGCTAGACTTCAACAAGAGCAACAAAGAAGAAATATTCAATAATCTACAAAATTGGGAGTATCCATTACTGAGTTGTGTCGAGGACATAGAATCGTCATTTATGGCTTTTTGTTCCAGGCTAAGCCTCCTAATAAAATCATTCACTCCACTAAAATGTCTTGGTAAATCTACATTTCCTTGTTGGTTTTCTCAAGACTTGAAGAGACTAGTTCTAAAAAAAAAACTACTTCATAGAGATTACAAAAGGACTTTAAACTTACAAATTTATATGGATTTCTGTCGTGTACGAACTCAATGTAAACAACTCACTGTGATTTGCTAGAGAAACTAAATCAATCGGGTAGAAGATTCCATGCAAGAAAATATTAAGGCCTTCTGGGGTCACATTAATAACACCAAGAACACTTCCAAGGCTGTATCTTCGATGTACCTGAATAGTGAAACTGCCGACACACCTCAGCACATCTGCAGACTTTTTGCTAAACATTTCTTGTCTGTCTTTAGACCACCATCAACGTCTCCCTCATATGAAGACTCAATTACAACCCTCTCATCTCTTACTGGGTTTTCTGTATCATGTGAAGAAGTTGAAGCTGTCTTGTCCTCTCTGAATGCTAATTAAGGAGCAGGACCCGATGAGATTCCTCCATCGCTACTCAAGTACTGTAGCTGTATTCTTGCACCACACATAACAATCTTCTTTAATTCATTTCTTTCATCTGGTGTTTTTCCTAAATGCCTGAAGACAAGCTTCGTTGTACCAATTTTAAAGAGTGGTAATCCCTCGGATATCAAGAATTACAGGCCTATTGCGATTCAGCCAACGCTTGCGAAAGTGTTTGAGTCTCTGGTTCTTACTCGTCTGTCTTTCTTTGGCAGAAGTTTTCTGTCTACAGCTCAACATGGACTCTATAGTGGCAGATCCTCAACGACAAACTTAATAACATATCATGACGACATTATCTCAGCTTTCAATAGAAACCACCAGGTGGATAGTGTGTATATAGATTTCTCGAAGGCATCCGATAGAATCAGCCATGATTACCTTATGGTAAAGCTTGGTATTTTGGGAGTGGCTGGACCTATGCTGAAGTGGTTTCGGAGCTATATTAGTGGACGCTGCCTTATTGTAAGATATAATGGGTCTGAATCGGAAGCCTTTCCTGTGTTATCTGGAGTGCCACAGGGCTCTCTTTTGGGTCATGTACTGTTTTCAATCTTTATTAACGACCTAGTCCATGCTGTCAAGGATTCAAGAGTGTTGCTGTTTGCAGACGATGCTAAAATCTATAAGGACGTAACAACGGACTTTGAATGTGAGGAGCTGCAGAGTGACTTGGACAATGTGCTGCGGTGCTGCGGAGAATGAGATGGAGTTGAACATATCTAAGTGCGTTGTACTCTCTTTCTCTCGGCGCACGAATTTAATGGTGTTCAACTTTGTATGTGCAGCTGGTCCGCCCTTTGTTGGAGTACTGCTCACCAGTTTGGTCACCATACCTGATATGCCATTTTTATCTTCTCGAGGGTGTACAGAGAAAATTTCTCCGAGTATTTGGAGTGAGTCTGGGCTTTCGCTACCTTGAAGTACCACTGGATGAGATGGAACGTCGGTTTGGACTTCTTCCTCTGAGTTTGAGACGCAAAATCTTTGATCTGCTGCTCTTAAAGAAGATCATCACAGCCTCGGTTGATTCACCGGATTTGCTGAGCAGGGTTGATTTTCGTTGTGCTCGTGTGGTTAGATCCAGAGGACTCTTTGAGAGAGCTCATTGTTCGACTCAATATTCTTACCACAGTGCTCTGCCTCGCCTTCATCGTCTGGGAAACGGCCTGCCCAGTTACATCTACCTCATTCAGTTCTCCGAGAATCGTCTTAGGAAAGAGCTAACCAACTTCTACTCGTCAGAGGAGCATGTGCATGTTTGATTTATTTTTAAATTAGCTTTTCGTTAGGAATGTGGCTATGACTTAGTGTTGGGGCCGTCGACTCCCCTTACTTCCGAGCCAGTGAGTGCATGTCTCTGTGCAAGATTGTGTGGTAGTGTTGGGGCCGTCGACTCCCCTCACTTATGTGCATTACTTTTTCACATTTATTAATATTATGGTCTATCTTGTTGTTACCTTTATTGTTAAGTTTTTATATTTCTTCAGAGTTTACCGTACCTTTTGCACATTGTTTTTTTTTCTGTAAATTTGCTGTTTTTGCCTCCATAATGTTTTTTTTTTGTAGTGTTTCATAATTTTGGGTTTGCTTATTGTTAGTCTCTACTTTGTCCATATTTATTGTTAATATTGTTCCTGCATGTTAACTAGTCTTTACTCTTTATTGCCACTTGCTGTGATATTTATCATATATTTATTTTCTCAACTTTGTTTCGTTAATTCTAAGTGTAGGTAGTAGATAGCTGTAATGGTCACACGCATGTATTATTACATCATCTTTTTTTGGCCATCTGTAAAAAATTACAATGTATGTACAATGTAAAATGGTGTTTATCGTATATGGATAAATAAATAAATAAATAAAAGTAACTCAAGGTGAATAAAATAGATAACACTAAGTAAAAAGTGTTCTAATAGTATGCCGAATCATAAGATTCTGTTCAGGTTGGAGAAGTTGATATTCTTTAAATTTTGGTATTTCATGAAGTATCTTTGATATTAGTATATTACAAGGCTTGTTCAACAAGCAATCCTCAAGCCAGTTAGTTCAAATCTAAGACATGCACCGCATTTATCTTTCTCGCTTTATGACTGAGGTCATTCAACAGTTTCGATTGGCAGTGACCTAGGTTAGGAAATATTTGCAACTGGTTTGTAGTATGACTGGATGAGAGATTGCTAAACTGATAGGAAACATCTTAATTAGACTATTAAGAGTCTTCCATACCAAAAGAGAAAGTTTTAGTCCACTCCAGCGCTCCAAAACTGTTGTCAAAAGGGCCTATTACGAAAACCATATCCGGTGTTGCGCGGGCCGTAGCACACAAATAGTTTTCCCACGTCTATTCAAACGATCGAAGGGCGTGTAGGAGAAGGCACTCTTACTCTTTTGCAGGGTGCGGCGAGAGGCAGGGGCGAACCTAACGGTTCCCATTGATGGGCTACCGACCGACCTGGGGACCGGGGTAGCGACTTGCGAGCCACTGGATGGTTGAAAGGACGGCCGGTTATTTCCAACTTATTGCTGGTTCTCGAGCTTCCTGAGCTAGTTGCACAGTAAAATCTTACTTCCCTATTTTATATATCCACAAACGAAGTGAATTGTACAATGAAGATTGAAAACATAGACTCAGTGATGTTAGGTTACTTAATCAAATAATGTTCCTTGAATGTTTATACTTTTAAAAGAGCCAATAATCAATCAACTTATATCTTTTTAATTTTTTTATTTATCTATACTATTATTAAGATGAGTTAGTGTCTGTGTGTTTGTATGAGGTAAACTCAAAAACTACAGAACCGACTGGGCTCAAATTGCACACATAAATATTTTGTGTTATTGAGCGAATATTTGCTAATTTACTTTTTCTGCTGTTTGGGTGCAGTAGTAGAACATTATTATGAATATGGTAGATGGTTTATACATGGGTTTATACTATAGCATACCGTAAATTAAAAGAACCAAATGTTCTCAAACCGTGTCCTCCCCCATTGCAAATAATTTTTTTACGGTTGAGACCGTTTCCTGGATTAATATTTAATTGTTTTGTTCCATGTCCGAAATGTAAAAAATAACATTGCTATCTCGCACGTCAACTTTTCGTGTATTTTTTTGGACAAACACTAGATAGAGGGTAAAAAAAAACTTTAAAATAAAATATTATATCCGAGAAATAATCTAATTTATGAGACAAAAGGACTGACGATAGGTCTTCACTATAAAATGAGTTGGATCGTAATGTATGCCTTTGATTTAAGTCAAATTTATGATTTTTGATTTAATATTATCTTGAACTAAACTGTTTCAAAAGATTAATAGCTCAAATTAAAGCCTATAATTTCGGGTTATTTTGAGTCTAAAACATATAAAAAACATAAACAAAACTGGAGCTATTGATTTTTAATCATAGAAAAAACCTTTGAAAAATAAGTTTTATTTTGGTTGTTCACCTTGTGTTTGCTTGAAACTCGTCCGATTTGAATAACTAATAGCTTAAATTAAAGCCCGTATTTAACTGAAGGTTCTTAGACCAAAATATATAGGATTAAATAATTATAAGTGGTGAAATACATCTTAAATTTAAGTAAATATAAAAAACAAATTTATGTTTTTTGGTGGAATAATACAGTAAATAAATATTGCCGATGCTTTATGTGCAATCTGTGCGAGCATACCTTCAATATAAGACTTTAATAATTAAAATCGGTCGAGTAGAAGAGACAAACGAACTCGCTAATTAAAAACCAATATTTAAAATACATAATAAGATTAGAGGACCCATACTGCCCCGCAGCGTTGAAATAAATATCATTATGCCGATGCTTGATGTGAAATCTGTGCGTGCATACCTTCAATTTCAGACCTCAATCATGAAAATCGGTCGAGTAGAAGAGTATGATTGAAAATAACACTGTTTTTCTGTAAAAAAGGCACAAATAGTAAATACTATTTAAGCAGCAGACCGGTACTGTCATGACTGAAAGGTCATACTCCTTTTAATCTAGATCACATCATCCTTTATGAGATACGTTTTTAACAATGCATGTAAACGTCAATATTTACGTAACAACAAATTTACAGTATTTTTTGGCTTTTTGGAAAAGCCGCATTGCTATGTCATTTGCATTATTTGTTGCCAATGAAGGCGCCCAACCATATAAACGAGGAGGTCCCTAACAGTCCAAGAATAAAAGCCAACTTCACTTTTAAGTATATTCCACTACGCCTAACTTTCCGTACCTAGATGAATTAGCGTAAGCCTTGACAGTAACCGTCGATTTCAACGGGTTTCACCTAGTGTTGTATAATACGGTGTTTATCTTTTTTTATATAGGGCCAGGCTTCAAGTAACCATGGGATTGCAGCGCAGCTAGAACAACGGCGTTTATCATTCATGGCGATAGCTTATTCCCTGTATGGGAAATTCACTTAAACATCCTATAGACTAAACATATCTTAGAAATCCTATTTTCCATTATCTACCAACTATAGCACGCAAAATAAGTTTTAAAACGTGACACTTTTTTGTTATAAAGCTTAGTTTCATCATGAGTGTCATTACATTCATCAAATAGCATTACATTACATCAAATTCTATCATATCGTATTTACTTATCGTGCAGTAATAATGCTGTCTATGATAACAATTTGCTTAGACCAAAGATTACCCAAAATGGTGTCGAAATGACTGCATACTATATGAAATAAGTATTCAACGTAAAGCGTTAACATTATTGTTTGCTAAAAAGGTTTCACTCAAACGTGTTAACAACATGTTCATAGTATATATTAACATTTTAGAATCTATACAGAAAACTCAA